AATAACTTTTGTTTTACAATAGCCGATTTCCAACTTCAATGTACACATGAACTGCTCCAGGGTTTCATTTTAAGAATGAAGAATTCTGGGCACCATCACTAGAGGTTCTGATTCAACAATTCTTAACAAAAGGTGCTACTGAATCGAGTTGGTTTCATGGAAAGTCCATCTATATTAGAGTGCTCCAAAGGGTTTTCAATGGTAAGTTTTCTGCAGGTAAATTGCCAGACTTTTCTCCAACGTGCCTCCGGGTAGGCTCAATCAAACTGCCAACTTTTCTGTTATCAGCTGAGTGTGTGTTAACTGTCCGCACCACCTGGGCACTGTTCCAATTCAATAAAACCAAACCCAGTGCCATCAGGTTCCCTCTTTCTGCTAACCACCTTATGGACAGGGAGTACTGCTCTGTGGGGTTTCCACACTATAATCTTCCAGTTAGCTGCACAACACACTACAGCCTGTGCCACCTGAGCTCCTTTCTATGGTGATAGTCTATGGACGTAAAGGGCCACATCATTTTCCTGCAGAGCGGCTGACAAGTTTGAACCTCCCACCTTTATGTCAGAAATCAAACACTGAACCTTTGTGCTACCTTGAGTCAATACACTGCTCCCAACCCACATTTTACCAAGCTTCTAGGTAATCCCGAAATGAGTACATTTTAGATTCCCAGACGGCAACTTAGAGAGCTCTGTTACTGTTATTAGGTGCTGGAGAGCCAGTGCCCGACTTCTAGAAACAAATCTAGAAGTCTGGAAAAGGACCCTGAGCTAGGGTCTGATACTAGATTCAAGTAGGAAGAGTCTAGAAGTTGAGCACCTAACGTCATCAATTTCTTATCTATCCCCAGGGACAAGAGCCTTTTTGGGGGTTGACTGCAACCTTCTGTCCCCCAAAAGGCAAACCACCTGAATGGTATCTTCATCTCACCTTCCAAGCTGCCATAACAATCTAAGCTGTCAAGAAGTGTGTATCCACACACTCCACTTTTCAAAGGCAGCCTGGGTATAGGATGCTGCTGTTAGGTCCTGTGGAGGAGTCAATTCCAACGCATTGCAACATAAAGAAAAACACATCAAAACTCAGCCCAGAGCCATGCCCATTCTTGTAGTCACTATGTCAATTCAAATACAGCTTAAGAGTTGTGGGGTTGGGGGGCGGGGAACATAGTCTGGATGAAAGGAAAAAAAGGCAAGTTTGGGGTCAGCTGCTGAGTCTGAATCCAAACAAATATAACATTAAAGAAATGACTTATCTTCTCTGATAGTAGGGTTCCTGACTGGCAAAGTAGGGATAATCATTGACATTGTCCAAAACTGCTATCAGGATGAAGTGAGAAAATATGCATCAAATGCCTAAAACATAATGTAAGACACTGAACCAATGTGGAGGCCTTTTCATCTAGCTGCTACCAAGTAAAATGCCAGTTTAAAACATAGTATCTTCTATAAGACAGCATGCCTTTGTCTGATGTTCTTGGGACCACAGACAGAAAGTGCTCTTTAAGAAGAAAAAGATCTACATACAATGTGTCGTGAAACAACCAACACCACCAATAGATTCTGTAAGTCCAGTATCAGCTGATGAGGGGTGGGGAGAGATGGTTGGTCTGTGGATCCTGGTAGGGAAAATATAAATTTTTGGACAGAGACAAGAGGGACCCTAGGTTGATCTGATGGAAGGTAAGGGGCCTGCCAGCAAATCAGATGTCAGGTGGGGACTCTCCTTCTCCAGAGAATCTGACTTCCTCACCTTTTACCCCAGGGCTCCTGAAGGGACTTCTTAGTGGTAGCTCTGACAAGAAGCTGGTTTCAGAGGAGCCTGCACTTGTCTCTCTTCCCATGCTGAAGGTGGTCTACAGTGCCTGTTCAGTTGTGTTCCTATGCATCTTAGCTGACCTCACCAAGAGTTCATTTTCTACAGCATGCTATGGAATCTCAAAGACTTAGACTTTGCTTCTCTAACCACTAAGTGTCTCACACCTCCAGTGACTGACAGGTCACCACCACCTGCGGCAGGCTTTTTAGGAAAATCTTTATTCTATTAAGCTGAAGCCTGTCTACTTGTAACTTCTATTCAAGTGCCTTAGCTTTCTCTTTAGAGAAAAAGAAGACACACTTTAGAGATTTATATCCCTTTGTCTCTCCTGAATCATCTCTTTCCTAAACTAAACAATCCTCTTTGCAAGACTCTGCACTGTAGCTATGTTTCATTTTATGCTCTGTATGTTTTCCCCTTAGGGAAAACTCCTCTCTCACTTTACAGAAGCCTCATCTCGGGAAGAAGTGAATCTTCCTTGACTATTGAAGGCAACCCTCATTCACAGGGAAAGGAGGCAGCTAGCACACAAAGGAAAAGACAGTGGCGGGGGGGATGTGGCCCGAGCCCCTGAAACATCCAGGTTACATGAACCTGTATATTAATTTCATTTTACCTTAGCAGAATGATTTGGATTTAAATTGCTTGCAAATAAAAGCACCCCACATTGTCCACATCTTGGCCATGGTTTTACAGGCCCTTAGCACCTCTCCTAATTCCAGTCCTCCCTCATTTGCTAAAGTGGGACGTCCATCTCGGAACCCTACACCCTGATTAAGTCTAAGCAGGACAGCCCAGACCCATGGCCTCCCTGGTCTAGGCACCCTGGCCCTTTGAAGGAGGCTGAGGCTGTGCCAGCCTTTCCAGCAGCCACGCCAAGCCCATGACTCACATACAGCGTAAACTTTAGCATCTTTTTCCATGTGTGCTGCCTGTAAGCCAACTCTCGCCCACTCTGCTGGTGCAGTTCATCTGGGGTCCGGTTCTCTAATAGCTTAACCACCAGACTAGGGAAATTTAGCTATCAAATAGCTGTCTTCTAAGACAAACAGGGGCAGCTTCCAGGAAATCTAATCAATAGTTAATGTTCTGATCACACGCAGCTCTTACCTAGTAAAACATCCGAAGGATGCAACCTGCCTTTCTCAATCACATCAAACACATTTCCTGGTATGAAGACCAAGCTCAGTTCCACAAAAAACGTAATGTGTTAAGGGGCACAGTGGTAGAAGCAGAGTTTTAATGGTTGCCATGCTGCAAGATGATTCAGAACACAAGCTTTAGGGTAAGATCTACACTGATACCACATATACCCATCAACTAACTTGTGTTGGTGCTTCTGGTGTGGTCTTAACAAATCCATTCACCTTTCCAAGCTTTAGTTAATAAAAAGAGGCCAAGGCTGGCTTTCTTACATGGTTACAGGGAAGCAGGTAAGGTGGTGTATTAATATTTTAAGTAAAAAACAGTAACTGGATTCTATTATATCCTTTATTATTAGGCTCTTGCTGGGAGTCAAAAAACACAAGGAATCCTGGCGTGGCTTGGCTATTCTGTGTTTCAATCTCTCCTTCTCTACAGCTCTCCCAGTTCAAAATCTATAGTCTTGAAATAAAACCAACCTGAGGTGTTATCCTCATTCTAAGAACAACTTTCAAATGTAGCTATCACATACAGACAGAAATCAGTCAACAGACATTTCCTACTACTCTCAATTTATTATGTTCTCTTGCATTTTGTGCTAAGTGCCCGGAGGAGTTTTTCATAGTGCACAGGTGCTGTTGGTGAGCCAGTTTACACACACTGATTGGTCTTAGGGCAAAGTGAGACAAACAGACCAGGCAAGATGAAGACTGGCCCCCAAGAAGGCTAGAGGGCTGGCAGACCTCTCTCCACCTTACATGGAGGTGGTATGGAAGGCCCCTTGCTTTGTTCCATCAAGATGTGTAGGATGGGCTGCACTGTAGCAGTTAGCCCATAAAGCCATGTCTGTCTGTGCAGGTACAATCTTTAGGTGTTACTACTATGCCTAGAATACTCACTCACGCTCTGTGCACTCTTGACTGCCAAGTAAGCTAGAAAATGACCTGGTTTTGACAGAACCACCTGATTTTCTTCATATCCTCAAGTCAGGTTTGACTTTTGCTCACTACATCTTTCCTTAAGCCCACTGGATGGACCCTCACTTCCCCTCCTTAGCTCAATCATATCACCACTCTCCTCAGCCTCCACTGCTTCCTGCTCTTTTCCTTGACCAACCCCATGCCTCATACCACCTCCTCCAGGAAGCCTTCCCATATTTAGTCCACAGTGTCCTTTTTATCTCCACTCTGAGAACTGGACAAACAGAGCTTTGTACACTTGCTGTACACAAGCCTGTGTTATTATGCAAGGGTTTTTTATCCCCAACTCAAGATCATTTGAGTTACTCATGGTCAGAGACTTTCAATTTCTCTCCTATGTCTCCTGTAGGCTTCTGCTGAGGTGGGTACACAGCAAGTGCTCAGTAAATGCATAAATTAACTGATTTATAATGAAGTCTTGGCTGGTAGTGCCGCAGCATGGGAAGGCAGCCTCAGGCCCTCATGCTCACATCCCTCCTTGGATCAGACTGGATTAAAGTCCCTCATCTCAGTCAGGTACATTCTGGGAATGGGCAGGATCCCGGGGCTAGTCAGTCGCTTGGGGGCTCCAGGGAGACCTTTGTCACATTCTTAACACCCACGGTTAAAAGGTCACATTCCTAGAGTCTATTTCATGGTTTAAGCATAAGAAGTGCTTTTCACAGTGGGAGCTTTCAGAGCTGTGGGAATGGAACAATAGCAGCTCTCTTTCAGGCAGAAAGCCTCTCACTTCCACAGGAGCTTACTCAGGCCAGGAAGCCTGATTTAGAGCCCAAAGCTTCAGCACCTACAGGGGTCCAATCTTCCCCTTCTAAAGATTTTGTGATCTCGTCCTTTACCTAGAGATCAAAAAGTTAAATTCACAAGAAATTGAGGAGAAACTGAGTTTAAGGCTAAGAGAATGGAATTTAGACTAATTTAGACAGGAATACCATCATTTGGGATCGAGATTTGGTAACACCTGCATGGCCTCTGGCTTTGAATGAACTTGGTTCCAAAGAGGTGGACACTTCCAGAAAGATGAGTATCCATGAAGACAAGACTCTTCCTATCACTCACCTTTAGATCCAGGTATTCCAGGTCTTTCTTCAGCTGGAGGTAGGTATCATCAGCCTTCAAATTAAGCACAGAGTGGGGGGAAACATATTATGAACAGTAGGGATTTCTCTAGCGCAGGGCTTTATAGCGAATCATTCACATTATATAGCCTAAAGGACAAAAGACTCCAGCATACCAGCACATCCAGGGCCACAGAGGAAGCATAATGTCTTGCTGCAGCTCAGACACCTCCCCCCCATTCAGCATGGCAGATGTGATGGGTCAGTGTCACCCATTAGCTGGGAGGAGGGTCATAGCACACACTCTATTAGAAGGCTAGTAGAGTAGTATAGCCAAGATGAGTGATGAACTCCTGAGATAGAACCAGAGATGTCCGCCTGGAAGACGGCACACTTCCACCTGAGTTAATGCACTATCAGTTCTGACTCACAGCAATCCTCCACTGGTTCCCAAGGCTGTAAATCTTAATGGGATGAAACCGCCCATCTTTCTCCTGTGGAGCCACTGGCAGATGTGAACCCACAGGGATGTACCTTTTCACTAGCGGCATAACGTCCTATGGACTATGACACCAAGGCACCTACCTTATACCTGAGTTAAGATTCATCAATCACTAATGTTCCAATTATTTCATTAGATTTAAAAAAAAAAATAGGTCCCAAAACAATAAGCATCAGCAGTTGCTGGAAGTTTCTTGCTCTTTTGTACTCAGCACGAAGCCAGTGTGGAGCTACTCAAGAGCACTGCTGCAGACCAACTAGCTTGTGGTGTCTCTGACTGCTGAGCCCCTGGAATAATTACCAGGAACAGTGAGAATAAGAGTCTTTGATTGCCTAGAATGTGTGCTCTCCTACTTAGCACATCACTGGAGCTAACTGTGAAGCAAAAGGGCTCCCAAGGTATAAGACAAAAGGGCCAGGCACCAATGTCCCAACAAATATCTGCCCAGCAAGTTAAGGCAAGCTAGGGCATGGCGGTCCTTGTTTACCATTCAAATGTGAAACAATCACACAAACCAATAATGTGAGCAGCTCAGACAGTGCTTTCAAGCATGAGAAAGACTGAAGGACCATTGTCAAGGACACAGTGGTTTACAAAACCCTATCCTTATCCCTAAACTGTCCCCTTACCTACCCCCAGCTTTGTCCCTAATAATTTTTCATAGGCATAGAGCAAACAGAGCAAAGGCATTATCATATTAGCAAAATAATATTATCATATTTATAGTTTTATGCATACAACCTTCCATTTGGTTATTCTGAATGCATTTCTTGAGTCCCTCAGATCTCAACAAACCAAAACAGGTAGGGAAGGTGATTGTCCCCTCACTTCCTCAGCAGACCTCCGCCTTCCTCTGCGCAGCCTGACCCCAAACCTGCCTGCGGACCAGGCTAGGAAGGACTCAGAGTCTTTAAGCTGCTCAAGAAGTCTGGGAGAACAATGCATACGCAGGCCTCGCCTCGAGCAGCCTGCCAGCAGAGGCCCAGTGTCCTGGAACAGTTCAGCACACTATGCCAGACAGGTCCTGGACTTTAGCTCCACCCTGTGTGGAACCAGCTGAGGGACTCTGTGGAAGGAGTTCTCCTTCTGGATCCCCCCCATGCCCAACCTCTCTGAGGCTATTGTGTGGTGAACAAAGTAAGAGATGGGAAATTGCTCTGTGACTCAGCAGGGAACTATCAGGATTAGGTACTATACAGTCTCTTTCCAGTCTGACCCCTTCCTTCTGCAGCCCAAGGAGTAAATGCCAAGGTGGCAACAAGGAAAACAGTCAGCACAGCCCTCTGGACATGGCCACACAGCAGCCTGGCGGTCACTTCTTACAGCCAAAGAAGCCACAGTTCAGACCCCTCACACCACATGCAAGCCCCTCCCCGGCACCAGAGGCACGGGCTCCACCATCAGACAGTGCCTGGCAGTTGCATCCAAAAGCAAACAGGCAGGGAACAAAGGAGAGAGCCAGACAGCAAATACAGACTAGAGCGTGGGCACGAGGGAGCACAGGCCAACATGTCACTCCTGCCCCCGAGTGGCCTGGTGCAGAGAGGCCAGCAGCGCTGACCTGGGAGGTGGGAAAGGTCAGCTGGTGCTGCAGTAACTGGCCGACGGCGAAATTTCGCACATTGGCCAGCTTAGCCTGGTGCCGCCGTAACCGGGTGAGCAGCAGTGAGAGCTCCTCCAGCTGCAGGTGTGTAGACATAATACGAGGAAATCAGGCACCGCAGGAGCACGCTGCTCTAATTATACTCTTCACCCCGTGCCGGGACAGCACTGAGGTGCCACCATTAAGCAATTATTGCATTAATTCTGTCATTAGGACAAATAAAGGTGCTGGCAGGAAAAGGGCTGCAGGAAGTAGTACTTTTTTTCAGGAGTGTAGCAATTAACAGTCAAATATCCATATACAAGGTTTGAAGAAAGAGTGAACTAGTCAAAGCTAGGATCTGGAAAGAAATGAGAAGAACAAAAAAGGAAAGGCAGGGGCCTGGGGAATGCTCGAGACAAAAATTTATACCCAAAGTGAAAATAAGCCCAATGTCCCTTGTCACAGCCCACCAAGCTCTTCACCCCATCTGGAGAGGACTAACTACAATGTGAAGACTCTCTGAGCAAGTCACTAGACTTTTCTGAGCCTCAGTTTCATCATCTTTAAAACGGATTGAACAGATGCTCTATGGACTGCATTTGGCTGTCCGGGGGAAAAGCCCCGTAGTGCTTCGTAGAGTGTACCATATCACTTGCTGGGAGAGGAGCAGCTTACCGATTTTCCATGTAAACTGGGAGCGCTGACAGTGTGCGTCATGTAACCCAAGGAGGGCATGGAGCGTCGGTCCACATGCGAAGAGTTCTGCAGGCGAGGGAACAAAAAGTCAGTGCAGTCAAGACCTCTGCCACTCAGTATGCAGGTGGACCACCACCTCCGCCACGTGGTACCTTCCCTCCCTGAGCTTCAGCTTCCTTGTCTGTAAAATCATAATACTACTGCACTGGGCTAGGACAGTGACCAACTATGACAGCACTCCGGAGAGCTAAAACTTAGGTTAGGGTTAGTACAAATAATTGAGCAGATGATCTAACAGAGATATTGTTCTGCCTTCTACACTGCAAGGAGACAAAGTTCTGTCTGACTCCATGTAGGTTATGTCACTTCTCAACGGCTTAGAGACCTCCTCTGTAAAATGGGCACACTGTCCTCTACCTCATTTAATAAGTGGATTGAATATTAATAGAGAAGGATTTTTAAAAACCACACCAAAAACCTCCTCAAAGCCACTGCTATCAAGTAGAAACAGTTTCACAGCTGACCCTCTAGCAGGTTCTGGGAGGCTGTAAGTCATAGGGGAAGAGACTGCAGAGCAGCTGGTGTATCTGAACCACCAGAAAGCTCAGCATTCAAGTCAGCAGCATCACACCCTACGGTCTACACCACCAGAGCTCTCTAGTAGAAAGGATTAGTTAAGTAAAACAAAGTCTTAAAAAATGCTTGGCATTAAAAGAAGTACTACACGAATGTTAGCTATCGTTCTTATCCCAAATTGCTCAAACTTGTGCTCAAACCACGTGAGTCTCCATAGTCAAAACCCCGGCAGCCTCTCAGGCCTCACCTTGGTGGCATGGCCCCGTGCCTTCCTGGGAGAACCCCCCAATGAGATGTCCATGCTCCTCCTCTGGTCAGGTGGCTTCACAGTAACCCTCTCAGCTGGTGTGTGTGGCCGCCGGGGCGGGATGGCTCTTGGGGGCCCCGGGGGAGGGATGTCAGAGGGAGATGGAGGCACAGAGATGGAGCGGGGCACCTCCAGCATGCTCCTGCTCCGGCCGTGGTCAGTGAACTCTGGGGAGCCTGCACAGATGGGCGCCGTGGGGCTCCCATGCCGGAACTGCTGGCGCTGCTGCCACTCGTACAGCTGCCACACGGTGCCATCCCGGTGTGCCCGGCGCTCTTCACTCGACATCTTCAGGTGGCTGGCTCGGTCCTGCGCGTACTTGTAGTCACTCGGCAGGTTTCGGGGTGGGGGTGAGGAGCTTCCAGAAGGGTGTCGGGTGCTCTTTGGAAGAGTCTGGTAATTTTCTGGAAAGTTCAGGGGCTGGCTGGGACCCTGGCGAGGAAGTGTCTGCTCCAAGGGATGGCTGAGGAGAGAAGGGAAGGACAAGTAAGACAACCAAGCAAGTAGTCCATTCTGGAAGGAAGCTGGAAGTGTGGGATACTCTAAGACCTACCACAGCACAACTCCAGGGCTTCAGGTGCTTTCTCTTTCTGCAGAGGACTTCAAAAACATTTCTCTCCATCAACTGATCCCCCCCATCCACCTCTACCTTTTGTCATCAAGCAGTTCTTCCAGCGGACATGTCTATTTCTAGGAAATACCTCATGATTCCTCTAGTTACTAAGATTTTTTTTCTGTGGTGTTATCCAAGCACCAAAGTTCTGGAAGTCTTAAAGGAAGTGGCTGGCACCTTTTTTTCTCTCTCTTTTTCTACTATTCTAGTCCACATATTCATTACTTAACTCCACCCAGACAAATGAAAGACCCTCCTACCTAAGTTCCCACCCTGTACAGATACAGCTGATCCAATCGCTCCCCCCAAAAACCTTTGTCCATGGTTCTCACTGTGTGTGACATGAAATCTGGACTCTTTAGGGGCCCCTGCTAGCTCCTCTTCACTTGACCTCAACACACTAGAGTCTTCCATCTGTCCAATAAGTATCTTTCTTCCTCAGCCCTGTTTTTCTCTTCTCTCACAAGGATGAGGATGTGTTCCTCTCAAGTGGGACTGAGCACCTGACGTAGCCTGAAAAGGTCTCATTCAAGTCTTGGCCTACTTCCTACACACATGAACAGCCTCACGGGGGAAAGCATAGCAGTGGTCGGCTGAATTCTGAACCCAAGCTCCCCCATCTTCTTGCTATGTGATCACCAGCTTACTTGACTATACTGAGCCTCAGTCTCCTCACCTCTAACATGAGGATAGTGTTCCCTACCTCATAAGACTATGTTGTTTGTTGTTGTTATGTGCCGTCGAGTCGACTATGCAGAGAGTAAATGACATAAACGTAGCTAAAGACAAATGCAACCTCCATGCCTGACTCTTAAAAGGCGTTTCCTATCTGGAAACTATGAACTTTGATAAATGTCAATAGTTGTAGAGGGGCTGCAGGCCTTTTGTTCATAGGTTTTGTATGAGTCGTACTCAACTTGAAGGCAAGCGATAACAATCCCACGTGTACACACCTGCTTATTTACCCAGATTTTACTAATTTTCCAGGACTCTGTGTCATGTGTTTCCCTTCCTCATCTGCTGCAGCCAGCCTCATGTGATCCTCTTCTACTCTCTGCTAATTATCCTACTGTTTGTAACTTTTCCAAGATCTGGTATTGATATAACCATTTTATATTTGTGAGACATCTTTCTCCAAGCAAGCTACAACTTTATAGAGAGCAGGAATCGTGTCTCACACTCTGTGGTTTTGACCATGGGCTAAGACAGTAACATCACCAGCCTTCAACAATTGCTCCAGCAAAAACTCCACATAATTTGAGAAACTAAGGGAGCTCTGGGGGCCCAGTTGGTAAGAAACTGTGCTGTAATTCCCAAGGCCCAGGGTTCAAATCCACCTGCTTCTCTGTAGGAAAAGGATGAATTATCTCCTTCCATGTAATCCTCTGAAAACCACAAGAGGGTCAGTTATGAGTTGGTTCAGACTCGACAGTACACAACATTATTACCAACTAGCTATCTTATTTTCTGAGAAGGAAAGGAAATTAAGCAAGGCACAAAATTATTTAAGCTTAAAGGTTTAACGGGTGAGGTGAAAGATGTAAAAAGAGAACAGGTCTGGAATCAGACAGATCTGAGTGTATAATTCTGACTACCTCTGTGAATTTTATGGAACAAATGATTACATAGTACTTAGCAAGTGCCACTGTTCTAAGCCCATGCTAATCATGCAGACCAGAAACACTGGCAACACATGGGAACTTATTATAATTCAAATTATCTGGCTCCATGCCAGATTTACTAAATCTAAAACTCAGGGAGAGGAGGGTACCCCGAGACCTGGGTTTTTACCAAGTCTCCAGATGATTCTGATGCATGCTGAAGTTGGAGAAATCTTCTAAAGCTCAACTCCACCCATCAAACCTAGCTAGATAACCTCAGGGCTTTACTATAAAACAGGATGATAAAAACTACTTAGATTGTTGTGAAAATTAGAGTTGTAATTCAAAAAACAGCCTTCTGCCTCTCCTTTCAGCATTATCACTGCAATCACGGGAGGTCATTTTAAGATCTCCTCAGTTCAGACTTGTCTCATTGGTCAAGCCTGTTTGCTTGCCACTAGGTGTCAGGATTTGCTACTGATATCTCCAAATCAGAGGTAACTGTATTTTGGGGAACCCCAAATCCTCAAATGGGGTAATGGTGGTGGTAGTGGCACAGACATGGCTAGAGGTTTCATTTGAGAATGCAAACTATGGAAGTATATCCCAGCTGTGTGCTCCTCCCCAGGCACCCCTCCCATCTAGTTGATAGCCCAGTTTCTTCTGAGAAGTGTCTAGATGGCGGGAGTCCCCCACCAGGCAGCACCCTGCTGCTCCGAGCTCATCCTCTGATCTATGCCCTCTGCTTACGTACACTGTTGGAGATCAGCAAAGTCTTATCACACAAAAGTAAAGATGCACATGCGTCGTTCTTATTTTCGAATGGAAAACTGAGATGTTTCTATCTTAGCTAACAAGATTTATTTATTACTTGACTATAAGAGCTTGTACATAACCTGGGAATGTGAGCTGCACACCTTTCAATACAAGTAGATTATCAGGCTGAGCTGACACTCTGCTCACTCAGAGACTGACAAGCATTTTCTTCTTGTGAGTAATCTATACTTTGCCTTCAATTTCTCACTTTTACTCTCTATCCAGCTCTTTGAGATCTTCAACCACTGGAATGAAATTCCTCCTATCATGTTCAATGACTCTTAAAGCCAAAGAATTGTTTTCAGCTATAATCTGAATGTCACCCTGTCCCTGACCCCACTCAAATTCTCATCTCACATCCTCCAGCACCCTCCCCAATCCATCCCTCACGTCCTCACAGTTGCCTTCGTACCCTTTCGCTAGCTGCCTGGCACACTCTATAGGAACAAAGACAGGCTGTTGTATGCAGACATTTAAACACAGATCGGTGAGTTGACAGAAACAATTAGGTAGAGATATTTCACAAGCAACAATTTATAATTGCTTATCACTCATCTCATTTAAAAAAGTTCTCTTTAAAATGGCCATGCCATTTTACTGATTTCATTCTGCCTTCTTGTACTATTACTCTGCCTGTTTGATTTCTACATTCCAGCTCTACTAAACAGTGCGAATCAAGTCTGCTCATCTAGGATCATCCAGAAGCTCAACTGAACAAACCAGATGCATTGAGGTGACTCTATTCTTTGCAACCCCACGTGCCAGAGTAGAAGTGTGCTCCATAGAGTTTTAAAGGCTGGCACTTCAAAAGAAGGTATCCGCTCGCTCTTCCAAGGTACCACTGGGTGGACTCAAACAATCTTTCAGTTAGTAGCTAAGTCCATTAACCATTTGCACCACTCAGGGACTACAGTGGGGTAAAAGCCCTCTGCTCTTGAGCATAGGACCAGAAGAGATGCCAGGTTCCAGACTTCTCTCAGTGATACCAAGTCTCCTTGGAAGTCAACTGGCCCTGGTAGCATCCATTGCAGAGTCCATCGCCACTGACTGAATACCTTCCAAAAGGCACTTCCTCACAACACTTTCATTTCCTTTTTCTCCTGTTTAATCTCCTTCATGAAAATTACTTTTGTCTAAACCTTGGGCTGGAGCTTCTCAGGCTTCCATCTTTGTCCATTCTATGATGAAGATTCTCAAGTCTGGCCTCACATTAGAATTATTTGGTCATTGTTTGTATGTAAGTAGAGGGCTGGTTTTGTTCTTTAAAAAAAAAAAAAGGTTTAGATTCCAGCCCAAACCAATAGAATCAGAATTTCTGATGTGGGAATTTCTGATTTCAGGAAATATTAAACCCTTTCCAGGTTAATTCTAATGTGCAATCAGTTTCTCCATTGAGAGAAACTAATCAATTGAGGAACTTTTTTAAAGCACATGGATGCCTTGACATTGTCCCAGAAAACAAAATCAGTTCTCTGGGATTGGGTCTGTTTTTCACTATTTTTTTTTTAATCTACTCAAATGATAAAACTTTGTAGTGAGGTTTAGAACTGCTGCTCTAACTGTTCCACTCTGGGTAATCTCAGCTATTGCTGGAATCTATTACTGTCTCCAGTATGACTCCTAAATCTCTCACCTGGACCCATATTCCTAATGAAGTCATCTTTACCTGGATACCTCACAGGAAAAACAGGCTCTCTCTAAACATCTCTCTCTTAGCTTGCACCTTGTACATGGCAGCTTTTAATCAAAGCAAACCTGAATGCTTAACTCAAGTCTTATAACTTACTCAGCCTTACTTACTGTCAAAAAGTGAATTCCAACTCATACTGATTTTCCACTGGGTCTCTAAGGCTGTATGTAAATCTGAACAGAAGGAGATTTTTCCATCTTTCTCCCTTGGAGCGGATGGTGGATTCAGATCAGCAGAGATGTGCAGCCTGTCAGCGGCACAATGTATTACGCAAACAGAGCTGCCCTGCTCAGAATCCTCATCATCTTCTCTGCTTTCAGTTAGACTTTCTCACCTCCTACACAAGCAGGAAATCAGCCATTCTGGTGGCTTAGTGGATAAAGAGTTGTGCTGTCAACCTAAATGTATGTGATTCAAATCCACCAGTTGCCCTAGGGAAGAAAGAAGGGCAATCTCCTCTAACGTGATTTATTGCCTCTGAAAATTTGCTAGAGGGTCCACAATGAGTTGATTTTGACTTGATGGTGCATAACAATAATAACAAACTCAATATATGATCACATTATACTTAACCCTTTTCTATTTTCAAGACTCCCCACCACCTAATGCTTCTTCTATACTTTTAATCTGTAACAGTAGCTCTCAGTGATGATATAGAAGTGAAAACAACTCATACTTTTTGCTGGAGTCGAAACGAAAACACTGGAGAACAATTTTGTATTATCTCTCATAATTAAAACAGCATCTATTCTCAGTCAGTCATGCCACTTTGAGAGATCTGCCTTTCACATTTCCACATGTACTCGTATGTAAAGACAGCTGTGGAGGCATATTCATCACAGTACAGTTCTTAATAAAAAGTATTTGTAGGTAATTTAATTGTCCATCAATAATGGAATGGTATCTCTATTCAACAAGGTATTCTGTAGCATTTTATATTAATGATATATGCCTATATTTACTAATGTGGGGGGAAAGCCAAGATATGCATATAGAGAGAGAAATTAAGTGGGAAAAAATATCAGCAATAAAGGGATTTCTTCCTTCTTGCCCCAAAATAATGGTTGGTCTTTGGAGAGTAGGTCTAGAATTTTGAGATAAGGTGCGAGAACACTTACTTTTTTTAACCTTTGTAATAACTATATTAAAAATAATGTATCAAAAAAAAGAATGTATTACTGATATAATTTTATGGTATTGGCTGAAGAAGATTTATACATCTAGCCATGAATTTAGTGATGAATTAGTAATTAGTGTAAAAAAAAATTACGCTAACTTGAAGTATGATAATTACCAACACTAGAGAAAACAAAAATAAATAGCAACAAATAAAACTGAATTCCAGTATACTACATAGCCCTGATATGAATATTTATATAATCATAATAATGTAAATACCAACTAGCGATCTAACCAAAATTATACTATAATATAAAGCTAGGATAAAGTATCTGTCTATTATAAAGTAGAAGGGAGGCATGAGAGACTTAAATTCTTATATTCTCACGTAGAATGCCAACAGATAACTAAAACTGAAAAGTCAAGAATTGGCAGAATAGTATCTTATTTGTAAATATAGATGCAAATAGGGGAAACTGCTAAACGAACTAAAAGTGGCTGCCATAAAGGTATGGAATCAAGAGTAGGATGAATAGGGGTTGCATTTTTTAAATTCTTAGTCTATGTACATTTATGTACTTGGATAAATTTTATGTTGTTGTTGTTGTTATGTGCCATCGAGTCGCTTGCAACTCATAGCGACCCTGTGTACAACAGCCCTAAACTCTG